GGTTGGAGCAACACTGACTGTGAGAGTATCATGTATTGTCAGCGCAACAAAGGAACAGAATCAAGGAAACCCAATTACAAACAAGTCCAAGAGAGAAAGAAAAGATGATGATGATCGGTACCACCTACAAGCAAAACCTCAAGGCTCTGATATCATGATAAAAAATAATAAAGAGAAAAAAAATATAAAAATATATAAAGAAAGAAACTCTTGGTTTCTTAATTTCACTGAATATACAAAATGCTTATTTATATATCTGTACAATAGAATATTCTATGGTACAAAATCAATTAATCTAATTATATCAATCAATTATAATGTGAACCCAATCAATAAAATTATACTATGAATATTATGTAACAACTTATATATAAGCACTTTAATTTGATGGGGGAAAGGGGAAGGAATAAACCATGGTAGATATGGCATATGCTTAATTATGGCTTATGCTATGAATATATCCTCTGCATCGACTTTAGGGGAATATTTCAAGATTGGTCGAGCTATCATATCATCTTTTCTCTCTTCACCACTCTCAAAGGGTTGTCAAAAAAAATTGCCATTCCGAGCATGTTAGATATTCCTCCTCTTTCCTTGTCCATGCTTCGAAAGTGAGTAGAAAAGGCGGTTTGAGTGGCGATATCTACTCGTCAACACGCAAGCGAAGTGGATATGAGTATAAAGAGGGCCTTCACAAAGTGTTCATATTCTTTTACCTTTGAACCACTACTTTCTTCAATTTTCTTTTCTTTTTTTGGGTTCTGACTTTGGTTCTGACTTTCCCTTAATTAACTTCAAGTACAATGTTGTTAATCCAATGGCTAGTGATTTGTCATCCAAACTACAAAGTATTTTTTTGAAACAATATACTCATTAATTCTTTATTCAATAATTTTATTTTTACAAAATTTAATAACAAAATTTCACAATAACATGTAATAGTTTATCTAATTAATTTACATAATGAATTGTTTTTAAACAATGAAATCTATTTATTGAAAAGGTTTTCATTCAATCACAGCCATATGAATAATACATTAAAGGATATTATTGTAGAAATAGGAATAATAAACTTACATACTAGCTAAAACTCGTAGGAAAATAGCATTACTGAGTTTGAGGTTGTAACTCCACTCCATAGCTAAGGCACATAACAGGCAAACATGCTACCACAAAATCCATAACGCAACCATAGTTCAAAATATTTTATGCGCCATGAAAAATAGAACTAGCTTGATGCTGACACACAAATAAACCGTTCTAATGAATCTTTGCATTTATAGAAACATCAACTAAACAAAGGGCACTTGAGAATAGTTGTGAACTTCCAAGTAGCTAGGATCTCATCTTCTCTACTTCATCCCAAACCCAAAGAGTCTCTCAAGCAGAATCCTCTGTCCCATGTATCTGCAGCGCAAAATAATTTAAGCGTAAATCATGTCAATTCCACATGCTACCAAGAATAATAGCCTAATAAAGTAGACTTAATTTGATACTTGCAAGCTGACTCATAATATCACATGACGGAAAAGGAAAATCTATAATTTACCTTCCTAGCATCATAACAGTAGCTTGAGGATTAGTCCCAGGGGAGTGATGAAAAGTAGAACCATCAATAACCCTCAATGCATCAATACCAAGAACCCGATAATCCATATCGACAACCCTTCCAACTTGACAGCCACCATGGTAATGCCAGATGGTCATGACGGTGTCTATGCAGAACTGCTCCAGGGAGGTTGTTGCAGTAACATGTCTTGGTCGCTGGTTCAGGGGAAGGTTCAACGTCAAATTTATGAGAGCTTCCGTTGGCAAATATCTGTTCCGGAATTTAGAAAATGCTTGGGAATTTATCACGCTAATTATGGTCCTCATGCCATTTACACACCGCCTCAAGTCCTCTGGGGATTGGAAGTAGTTGAATGTAACCGAGGGGTTTTCATTAGGGTCTGTACTTCGGAGCTCAAGATGACCGGCTGAAATTGGACCCATGATTTTTTCAAGAATAATCCCACCTCTTACTGAGTCACCATTGATAAAGGTTCCAACATCAACTTTGGCATCCGCGCTCTATAATGGGGAAAATTAAAAATCTGTTAGTCAATTAAAGAACAAATTGAGGTCCAAAAAAGGTTATATGTAACTTATAAGTTGGAATTTTTCATATTGAAATACTAACATTATCAAAATCTATAAAGTATTAATGACAGCTTCATATCACTTTTTTTTCTTTTGTATTTATGGTTAAATATCTCAAGAATCTTTTACGATATTAATTTTAAAGGCACGTAATCAATATTTAAATTGTATATCTATCTTATAAAAAGACATTTATTTACTTATGTATACAATTTTCATATCAATGTTGTGCTACTAAAGTTGATCATACCATTTATTTCAGTGTTAAAAATTCAATTATATAACATAATTAGGTTATAGAAAATAAGAAACTTTTTATATAAAAAAAAAGATTATTATCTTGTATTGTTTTTTTTTTTATCAGTGAAAAATTAGGGGATAAGAGAGTAGGTATAATATTGCTGCAGCAGTGGCAGCTAGAACCCTTGGCATAGACGCCAAGGGGATGATGCACTTTCAACGCAGCCGAAGCCGCAAGTGCATTATCTTATATTGTTTGATTTAACTTTGATAAAAAAAATATATACCTTGTTTATGTAGGCAGCTAAGTCTTCAGATAGTATTTTAGCCAAGTCATTAGATACTCTTCGACCCAAAGAAGGGGAAAACGTCATTCCACTGGCAGTCTCAATATAGCTATCAAATCGGGTGATGCCAACGACTTGAATGAGTGACACCTCTACTGGCTGAGGAGAAGGAATGAACAGAGCATTCATGGGATTATCAGACATTCCTTGACCCACCATTGGGTGATCTGCCACCACCGGAATACCGTGTGCCCGGAGCTGATCAGCCGGCCCGACACCGCTCAACATCAGCAATTGTGGGCTTCCAAGTGCGCCGGCCGATAAAATTATCTCGTTGCTAAAGCCCTTCTTCAAGAGAGCAACATGCCTCTTCCCCGTACCATCTTGGTAAACCACTCCACGAGCCCTCCGTTTTGGTCCAACTTGATTCCAAGCATTTCATTGAAGTAAGAGAAAATATAAAATGAGAGGAGATGAAGGATGTAATAAATATATTTTTATTATAAATTTATATTAAAAAAATTAATTTTTAATTAAATTTATTTATTTAATAATATTATTAAAATTAATATTAATTTTTAAACTTTATATATATTTATAATAAAAAATATTTTAAATTTGTACTTTAAGAATTTATATTAGAAAAAATCATATAAAATACATTTTATTTATTTTAAAATAATTGTGATTTTTTTTTATCTTTTTACAATATTTGTATTTATTTATAATATTTTAAAAATAAAATAATAGATAAATAAATAATTTTTGTAATTAGATAATTAATTAAAATAAATAAATAATAATATTAAATTAATAATAAAATATTTATATATCTCAAAAATTAAAAAAAATAACTAATTTAAGAAAAAATTAAAATTAAAATATAGTTTTTTTTAAAAATAAAAAATAAATAAACAAAAGCAAAAAAGGTTCAGTAATCTTAATAGTAATTCTAAAATTTCTTGCAGTTTAAATTATAAAAATTTATTATTATGATGTTCGTTTTAATTATTTTGGTACGGAAGAAAATAGTTTTACCTGCTTTCAAAAAGATGATTCTCTGCACAGTAGCGTGAAGATAAACTCTGATTTTTGCAGGATTAGCATACTCCAGCAAATCAGCAGCAGTGTGTCGATTGCCGTCCTTGTCAAAGATCGTTCCACCCACTTTAGTCCCATACATATGATCATAAGTAAACCCATTATTCGGAAGAACTCCGACTTCCAGCAACGCATCTCTGACCGCCGATTGCCATTGCAGCATTGGCGGCTGAAATGCCACCTTGTTCTCCACCCACCGGTACGAAGCGTTAACCAGAGCTTCATTCCATCCTGCTTCCCTCATGTAACGAGTACTCGCTCGCGTATAAAACCCGGCGTTCAGCACCGACCCTCCTCCGAGAACACTTGCCCTGGCGTTGTAGACTCCGTCCTCAGACACGAACTGCTGCGTCGGAGAATCCGGAGAGGTGTCCGCAAGTGTGCTGGTGAAGTTGTACATTTTGATCCTTTCAGGGTTTACGTAGGGAGACCCTCCCCTTTCCAGGAGTAAAACGTTGGCACTTTGTGACAGCGTCGCTGCCAGCGGACATCCGGCCGTTCCCCCGCCTATGACAATGTAATCATAAAACGAGACAGGGGGTGCAGTCGTTGCTTCATGGACAAAGCTGTAATATGGAGCTGCAACAAAAGAATCATTTCACTCTCATTTTCTTATAATAACTCTAAAGAAATCGATACCAAGAAAAAGGAAGAAATATAAAATCAATACCCTTTTCCGTCAAGCAGAAGCCATGAAAGTTTAAGATTAAGAGAAGAAGAGCAGAAAAAGAAGAGTGCAGTGAGGCAGAACCCATATTTTTATGCATATTAAGTTGTGTTACAAAGAGAGCTCACACACAAAAAACCAGAAAACACTTTAAATATGCAGAGACCCTCTTGGACTTCATTGGAGTATAAGTAGATTAAGGGTGTAAAATTTTGTTGAACGACACATCAAATTTTGTTGCCCATATAAAGATTGAATGTCCTTAACTTATACAATATAAAATGCCAGATGTGTCACACCATTTGATATCTCTATCTCCCTACAGTCTCTCCCTGTGAAGAAAAAAGAGAGTAAGGTTAAAGGAACAGCTTGGAAAGTTAATAATAATTTTTTACTCAAGAAGGGAAGCAAGAGTAAAGACATTATGCAAAAAGCAGTAGACGTATATGGTGTGGTCTGGCTCTAATTATGTGGCCTGTCTTAAATAAAAAGAAGCAACTACAACTACCTGTTAGATGATTAATAAATATTTCAACTATGATAATAGGCTAATCCCTCCTAGGTTCATTTATTGTAAGATTTGAAATTGAGACTTTTATAAAGGAAAAAATTCAGGTTCTTAATTAATCACTAAGAGACCACAAATTGAGTGGTGCAAAACATCGGCGAGTTTGGGTGATTTTGCTTGGACACGGATTTGAAAAAAATGTATTGAGGCCCAATAAAACATTGAAATGTCTAGTGTCATTCTTAGCAAGTTTACTGTTGGCCTAGTTTTTCAAATAATTGATTGATAATGTAATAATTGATTGATAAAATTTTATATTTATCATTAATTAAAAATTATTTAAATAAATTAACTTACTTATTATAAAATATATTGTAATTATTTTTAGAAAATAAAAAATTATATATTGAATAATATTTTTAAAAAGGAAAAATGGTCTGTTAATTTTAAACACCAAGAAATGCCCAAAATGGAGAGTGCAAAAATTCTTGAAAGATGGGATTTTTTTGGGCCAGATATTGAGATGGTTGCAATCCACGTCGTAACCATATAGTGTAGATTTAGTTTTAGGTTTTGAGTTTTATTTCTTATATATTTAGTAACCATTATTATAATTAAAATTAAAATTTATCATAAAAATTTAAATTTAATTTAAATATAATACTAATTACTAAATATATATATAATAAAAACTAAAAATCACAATTATATTAAACCAAACATTAACCTTAGTTTAGTAATATATATCATTTTCCTTTAATTATAGTTTTATTTGAGAACACATGTTCGAGTTCGGCCCACATTTCTAGCCCAATCTCGTTTGCATTTGTAGACCGTATAAAGTATTGATTGGGCTTCCAAATTAGCCCAGCATTACTTCTCCTTTCTTTACTTCAGTCAGAGAGTACTGGAGGTTATCCACCCTACTCTCACCAAAACATTATCCATGGTCATGTAATGAGATTTTTTCAAAATAAATAAATAAATAAAACTATACAGGGAATTTTTCTTTATGGTTACTATTTCTATCATAATAATTCTATTTTCTATATAAAAAAAAATACTAGAGACATTATAGCAATTCAATTTAATTAATTGGTTTTTTTATTAATGATTTAAGTCATTTGATAATAATTTTTTTACTATAAATAAAAGATTTTAAACTTAAATTATATATATATTTTTAACAAAATATCATGAGGGTTTGAACCCAATCTTAAGAGGGAAGGGAGAATTACACCTTAATAAAATGATAAAAGTCACTCAATCGACATATCATATGCTTAAATTTAAATTATATGATATTAAAATATAACATAAAAATATAAAATATATCATCTTTTATTGTACCAAGTAAAAATTAGAAAAATATTCACCCTTCACTCAACGTGTATCTTCTTTTCTCGTTCTTAAATGCAATGAACTCAAGATCATCTCTAGAAAAGACTAAAACACAAAAACCATTTCTTTCTCTCATCTCCACAATCCATACACAGGAACCAAAAAAGTCTTCTTTCAAAGATTATCCTAGGACACCCCTCGCCTCATTTTCTTCTTTGCATACCCCGAGAGCAAGCCAATTAAGATTTTTCCATGACAAATACAACATCGCCCTTATCATGTACGGTAGGGAAAGATTTCTGGTCAACAAACAAAGGCGCTACAATCAAAACTATGGCTAGCTAGCTTGGTGAAGGCACGCAGCATAAATTGTTTTGGAGGTACATCCGTGTTCTAAAATAATTTTATCATTTTTTGAATGAATTTAGGGTCATTTACAAATTTACAACTAAACTGATTGCAAAAAAAAAAAAAAAACGATTATTATATTTAGAGTGGGAAACAATATAGATAGAATAAATGGGTAAAAAAAGATGTCAATTTTATAAATTTTTTT